GTGAAGTGTTGTATACTCACGGCACATATTTATATTCTATAGAGATAACTGTACTTCATTTAGCCTCTATTACCTGCCAGTGTAACGTAAACACTGTTTTTCCTAACTGCAGGTGTCAGGAGACACACAGTAAAAGTCATTAAACACTAATTATTTTTTAATTTAGATATCATGTTGCATGCTATAGATTCCATCAAATGTAAATGCAGGTAAATCCTCCGGGTTATGTTGCATATCTCACTTGGCGAATGGATTTTACATGTTGTTAACTTTTGCACAGGTGCTGATTTGAAAGTGCTATTACCTGATTCTGCATCCTGAGACCAAACACACTATATGTTGAATTCAAATTATAAGGTGTAACAAAGCAGAGGGAGCTGTTTTATTAGTCATGTTGGCTTCGTGTTAACTTTGGAACCCAGCCTGGCTGTAATGACAGCTGACCTGAGCTCACACTCTGTGGCTGCCATGGGAACTTTAGTGCTCCACCTTTAGTCAGAGTGTTTGTCTGTGAACCTGATTAATGCTACAACAGTATCAACACTATCTGTCCAAAATCTTGTGTTAAAGCGTGTTCTCTTTAATTGTATGGTATCTTCATCTTGGACAATTTGTTTTCGCGCTCTCTGTCAGGTTGCAGTGGGACGTGGGACAAGATCACCTGCTGGCCCAGTGCCGACATCGGAAAGGTGGTTACCATCCCTTGTCCTAAATACCTCTTCTACTTCTCCAGGGATGTCCTTACACGTAAGAATCACATTTGCTAAATAGGCTGTTTGTGTGTGAAAGATTCAAAAGACAATCAAGGGACTACTCTGTGTTGGTTTGTGTGATGGGTCCTAATCTCAAAGGTTTGTGAGGCAATCATGCAAAGTTAGCGGTCACTGGCTTTGAGATTTACAATTTAATTCACATTATTTCCTTAATGAGGTTTATTGAAATGGTGACACCTGTCCGAAAAATCTGTGAGGTAATGGTCAGTGCCATCCTTATAGATAAGGACAATGCAAAGTAGGAAAGATAAATGGGTTCACAACTGAACAAACCAATTACCAAATGCTTAAATATAGCCACAACTGCTGAAAACCAAGTCTCAGAAGGATTGGTTAAGCTTCTCTAATCCATGTTTTTATATAGACATGGTTCAGCTGACTGTGTTTATATTGTATACGATAATGATAGATATTCTGCTTCTCCTACATTAAAGGGACATTTCAACAAAAAATCTAAACTCACTCATTACGTTTGGAGTCTCCAGTGACTTTAATTGTACTGGATATGGCTGCAACACTGTTTACCCCTTAAACTCCAAAAGTGTTTTGTGGACTTAAACACTTCACCCACCCGTCCCTTGACATAATCTTGAGAAGATAGAATTTTCATTTTTCAGGTGAACTATCCCTTTAACCTCTCATTTGTTGTCTATCTGCTGTTGAATCTCTGTCGGCATCATCAGGCTCCATATTTGAGACCAAATGCAAAAATTGGTACACAGAACATCTTAACAACTTATACTTATGATGTCACTGTTGCCCATGATCACCTGTTGTTTCTATGCTTCCTGACCTCCTATCTCATATATCAGTGTATCGTAAAACTCAAAACAAGTGGCACAGCTGAGCAGAAAAAGACACAGCTGAGCAGAAAAAGACAAACAACTTCTCATCCTGGCATCATCCACCCACCACATATGTTTGTCCTGGTTTTATCTTGAGAAGCCTCAAAGGGAAGCAGTACTAATTATGAATGGCCCAGGGAAACCACTCTCTTGAGAATCTGCAGGATGACTTAGTATGTGTTTGTACAGTAGTTCCTAAGACTATTCCCCCCTGAATTTCCCGTATATCTCCATTTGCCATTAATTACCACGCCAAGTCTCCTCAGTGTAATTATGCTGTAAGAGTTGATGCAGTTGTGCGTTTGTATTTAGAAAACACTGACTCAGGGCCTTGGTCCTTTAAAGCAACACTAATCTTTTTTTAATATTTACAACCAATCAAATAGCTACTGAATTGTATGTGTGTCAGTCATATATAGAATTACAGCAACTGTAAAGTTACTTCAGTATTTTTGCGTCTTTCAGCTCATTGTTTTGGTTCCTACAGCCTTGGTTCACTGCTCTCAGAGCATAGTTTCTTCCTATCAAAAAATAGCATTGTTTTTGTTATAATATAGTCACTGTATGCTACAGGGCCAGGCCCAATCAGCAACAAATAAAGTGACTCTCTTGTGAAGATATTGTAGCATTTGACATCTATATATTTCCCTCTGGTGGTGGAGACCCAAATAAAGCTAAAAGAAAAAATTGTTGGGCTTACCTGCATCATATGGACAGAAAAACTGGTCCAAATTAATGTTAAGCAAATTTAGCGTATCACATTTTCATGTAATATGTCGTTGTTGCGTTCACAATGCAAACATTTTTTATATGGTCAAAACATGTGTTTATATCTCCTGTATATGTGCCAGGCATAGTGACAAGACCTACAGAGAATTGCATAAACTCTGCATTTTTCATCAGCTCTTAAGAGCTTTTTAGCATTGTTTGGAGTTTATGGCCCACAAACTGTAATCACTCTCATGAACATTGTTTGAGGAAGCAGCTGACAGCTGTTTTCAGCTGCTCTGATAAACAGATGTATGCTACCCACCCAATACCTAATACAGACAAGGTTGGTGATAAGCTACTGCAGTGCTGTAGCTTTTGGCAGCTAAAGAGCCATATTTTGTGTCAGTGCAGGTGGATGTTAAAAAAGGATTCAAATGAAAGTGAATATTGGCGCAGATTCATCAAGATGCCTGAAAAACCACTTCAAACTAGAATAGACAGGGGTGAAAACATAACCTCCTGGTCGGCTAATATTGCTTTGTGTTGGATGTGTTAATATTTGCATATTTGTTCCCAAGCTCAGCCTATATAACCCACAGTCTTCTCTGTACTTTAAACAAGTGTAAGGTCAACAGATTCCAGCTGTAAGTGATGCCAGTGCTTTTAAATTCAACCTGCCTGGGGGGGGCTCTCTCCCCATGTAAACTAACCAGTAATTCCTCCCCATTATATCCAGGGCATGATAGGAACCTGAACCAAAGATTTATTAGCAAGCAAAGGCTCTATGTGGAGAAAGACTTTTTTTTGGGGGGGGGAGCTGTGATATGACCCAGATGGGAGATGGTGTGACCTCAGAGAGGAGAGCTTTCCTGGGAAAAGAGAGAGACAAATGAGGAATCACCAGATTTGTGGGGTTGAAGGCAGAAGTATATTTTGCCGACATGTCAGAGGTTCACAGGATCAACAGGCCTTTGCTGTTCAAGGGACCAGAATGACGTGCAGAGGCCTTACAAGAAAGACAGGGGGATTGTAAGTGACCTGTGCTGCACTGATGTGCATGATATAAATTATGCAGTAAATCAGTGCTGGTTAAACCTGATCCACTCTCAGGTCATGTAGCAAGGACTTAATTAAGGGATGATAAACAGTCTATTTGCATTGTAAATTATTGTTGTAGACAGGTAATAGCCTTTCATCTCCGAGTGTGAGCATGTCAGGGACCAAGAAAAACAGACTTGTTTGTGTACTAGTGTCCTGTTTTCAGTTTTAGGTTTCAGAACGTTGAGAAGGGAAGAATTTCAGAGAAACACAATGTATAGTTTTCAAGCAGTTGCCCTTTTTGTGAATTTAACAGTTTTGAAAGAGGTTACGGACACATTAAAAAAACAAGCATTACGAGACATGGCACCAGAGATTCATGGACCAAGTCATTAATTTAGTTGAGGTAGAGTTTGCCATTTTCATGAACTCCTTGTAGGTCTTACGCAAACGTACAGTCATTCATCTCTTTTAATAACACAAGCAACTCACCCTCTCTGCAGGCTCAGAGTGACTCAGTCTCTGTCTCAGTGGCTTCACCTATATGCCATAATATTAAGCTGAGCTCAAGCTGTTAATTTCAAGCCAATATGAATATTTTTCTGAGTTATAATTAGGAAGATTAAAGTACTTAACTGTTTAACATGACAGAAAAGCACAAAATCCTAGAAATCAAACCGATGATGGGATGATTAACTTGTTTGAGTTCTCCTGGTTGTCCTGCATGACACAAAAAATCCTGCTGTCATGTTTTGGGGGATGATGAAAGCATTCTTCTGGCAATCCCTCAAACAAGCCAAATCCAGTGGTGGCATGGACTGAAACAGCAGGGGCTTATCATCGCCTTTGTGTCTTGTCATGTTGTTTGAGGAGGCTAAGCCTCCATCTTCTCTGCAATACGCCACTCAGGTATTTTAATGCCAAATACATTCTAAGACTTTGGATTGTTGGTAATATCCCAACACGGTCTTGATGTGATAGTGGCTTGTGCAGCGATATGGTTGGAAAATGTGAGGAATGTCCTACATTTAGATTTCCACAACTGCATTGAGCACATGGATTAATTCGCCAACACATTCAGCTTCTTTTCTTAGATTTACAGGAGTGAAAATGGAGAAATGCTACAAATAAATGTTAGACAATAGGAGACTAAGCTAAATCGCAGAAATGTCAATGTGTGCTTTTCCTGCTGCTTATCGGCTTAGATACGCCTCGAATATGTTCAGTCTAATTAATGATTAGTGCCTCATCTGAATAGTGATGCATTTACCTGTCAGTATCAAAGTCTAATAACTCCTGACAACTATTCTATAACACATCTGTGTATGCAAGAACAATAGATTAAATATATAATTTCACATTTATTGATGGATATTAGGTTTGACATTCAATAAAAAGTCTAAGGACAAACACTAACCAGGTACTTGTCTTGTTAATGGTATTCAGTTTATCTATCCGTGTATTCATCCATCTGTCCATTATCTATTATCCATACTCCTTGCAAGGGTCAGGAATGGTCTGTATTTATATAGCTTATATAACTTTTCTAGTCTTGATGAGCACTCAAAGCTCATGTTGTACCGTTTTTACCATTCACACAAACACACATTCTACACTGCATCTATGTGCAGCACACATCATTCACACACTGCCAGCATAGCCATTTGGGGCTCAGTATCTTGCCATGATATTTTGACACGCAAAACGGGAGAGACTGGGATTGAACTGCTGACCCTCTGGTTAGTGTACAATCCGCTCTACCAATAGGTAACAGTAGACCCTGGACACAGGGGTGTGGTTCAGAGTGGGTTGTCCACTAAGCAGAAAGTCCCAGTCTTCCCAAGTGCCAAAGTGTCCTTGGGCAAGAAGCTGCTCCCTGAGTGCTGTGCCGGCAGTGTCTGATACTGATATTGATGTATGATAGTGCTGCACGTAGATGTTATAGATATTAAACTATCCCAATATAACATATGGGAGTGTGGGGTTAGGGTTGAACCCGAACCTTAACCCTTAATTCATTTTTTTTTCTCTCTTAACTCTGCTCTGTTCTATTTTGTTCTACTTTCACTACCAGCCAGCAAAAGTTAATTCTATTATGTAGAATACACAATAGTGTGCACTTCTACACTATCTTCTATGCTATTGTGCCCTCATATATTGAACACTACTCAGAGCTCTACTGAATTGTGCTCTACACTGCAAAACTCTATCTATTCTGTACTCTATACAAAACAACAGTTATCTCTGCTGTTCTTGGCTGAGAGACGATAGCTCTGCTGCTCTAATCTCCTCTTAGATGCTCAGTCCAATGCACTTGGACCTTTCACTTCTGCCCCCATGGGCAGGCCAGAGTAAAAATATCTCTGTGCTTCACTGTTGGCCTCCTGGTGTGTGTGTGTGTGTGTGTGTGTGTGT